GTGATCTCCCAATTATTAAGTATGTTTGCCACCTTCAAATATTTATAAAAAAAAAATAAAGGCAGAACATAAATAAACATTTACAATCTCTTGCAAAAGGCAAAGAGCATTCTGTAATAAAATTTTATTTTATTTGCATAGCATTGGCATAAGCAGGTTTCCATGCATTTCTGCATATTTTAATATAATTGATTTTAATTGAGATATGATGCATGTCACTTAGTTATCAGAGAGACTGTTGGTGGTTTATCTGTTTGGTCTTCTGTTTTGTTATCATGGTTGATGGTCCTCTTGCAGATTCCTGTTCTTTCTTCCTTTTCACATGTTTTATCTTTAAACTATCTTCAGAAAGAACACCACTCTCTGAAAAATAAAATTCATGGTTGCTCTATATTCTGTCAGTATTTTTCAGAGCTTTGTCTTTTGTGAATGAATTTTTATTTCTCTATTTTTATTTATTATTTTTCTATCTATATTTTTTATCAGGGTCTGGGTCTATAACTATAACTGTTTATGACAGTCGGTGTAGAGTAGTAGTTAAGGTGCTGGAGTAGGAGCGAGATACCCAAGTCCTAGTTCTCCCTTGGGTACAAAGTCAGTTAGATGACTTTGGGCTAGTTCCCCTCTCAGTGGGGGAAGAATGGTCTACCAAACAGCACTGCCCCTCAGGATAGGTTGCAGTCTGTAATTCTCAATGGTGGATTGTTGATGATGGAGAATGAATAGCCTCTCTCTCTCTGTGTGTGTGTGTTTGTGTGTATGTGTGTAATAAAAAATAAAGGCTATTCAGTGCCACATGCTGTTAAATTAAATGCTATCTAATTGGGGTTTCGGTTGGTTTAATGCTTTGTATTGATCTCAGTCGGAGGGCATAGTGGATAATTTTCCCTTGCACAGCCTCTCTATCATCTGCCCCGTGTCAGTTTCTTTTCCTATGGTGTAAAATAGAGGGAATGATGGGTGCTTTCTTCTTTCGCCACTGTTTGCATTTTCTTTCAAGAAATATTGAAGTAGTTTAATTATTGCTTCTTATTTTAGTGTTTCTTAATTTTGGTAAACTTTTAATATTTGTATTTGCCATTTCTGCCATCTGGCATATATTTAATTTCCATTTCTAATATGCATTTTTCCCCTTTAGATTATCCTTCAGGTTTCCAGTTCCTTCTCTGTTTTTTAAGGTTTGGCCTCAACCAATTTAGGGCTCCAAAGGCTGAACTCAGAATTTTAAACTGAGCCAAAATGTTAAGTAGGACTGGAGGAAAATAATTCATATTATTTAACTTTTCCCACTATACTCACAAAGTGAGATAATTGCTAGAGTTCCATGGATCCAGAGATAACTGGCTGCATTTCTGGGAAAGGCCATAGTTGGTAATCATAAGATATCCCTTAGCATCTGAGGAATTGGTAGACCAAAGGCTACCTTCAAATTGTCTGTTAAAATCATTTACTTGAATTGAATTTCAGTTTATTTTCCCTGACTTGTTCCTAATTTGTGAAGTTTACTGCCTCTCTTGGATCCCCAGATGTAAGCCAAATGTAATCCATATATTAATGTTTGGGGTTTTTTTTAATAGAAACTTTCTTGGATTAATTGTTAATTTTAGCTACATTATTGTTTGTCAGCTACCCATAGTCCTTTGATATTTGGAGTGGCCTTGAAATGCCATTAAATACATAGATTTCATTCCAAAGCTTGAGGAACAATTTCATTCCATATTAAAAACAACGTGAGAGGGAATTTACATTTTGTGAAATAGTACAGTAACTTACTTTAATAAAATCAGAGCAATAACCAAATAGTTTAATTCACACCAAATTCATCCATATTCTTGTGCTTAATGGAAGGTATGAAAAGTTTCAAAACAAGAATCGTATTGTTTTTCTGTTTTTAGCAGCAAAGGGTCTGATTGCTTACCATTGGAAATATCTGGATAATCTTGCTTGAGAAAAAAATGTTTGGATAAGGTTTATTCTTTTGCCCTGCTTGAGAGGTCTCTGATAACATCCACCAACTTAAAACACAAAATGGGAACTCATTATTGACAGGATTTTATCTGTTTGATAAAGGACAAAATGACTTCTATAAGGATGTATAGAAAATTTAAATGGCTGCAATAAGAATGTAAAAGCTATTGTGTGTAATATGATGTATAGAAACTTAATGTCACTGCTTTGAAATGGTCAGCCATTTAAATAGTTTAAATAAATAAATGAGTATTGCAAAAATTAAATAAAGTATGAATAAGCATGCATATATTTTCCTGCACAGACACATGGTAGTCTCCCAGTGCTTTTTAAGGTAACCTTTTAAAGAAAGGAACATAATATTTTATTGCTATAATATTACATTGTGACATCAACATAAAACAAATATTTGCAAAGTCTAGGAGAGATTTGCATGTTTGCCCAGTATTAAAAGAACCACATTGGAGTTGAGGGAAGAACAGTTAGAGAATTGTAGCCATAGATTGGAAGAGAAGACTTAAACAAGGAAATGATTGGGTTTAATTCCTGAGAACTAGGTGGCTTTTCAGCTATGAGTTATTGTGCACAAATATTGTGGTATTCCTGTTCAAGCTTTTTAAAGAATCCCCAGTAAGTGGTGGAAGTAACATAGTCACTTGCAGAGAAGATACATCTGTGTACAATTTCTGATCAGTCCCCGACACCAGAAGTGTTCAGGACAATGGTGGGATTCAAATACTTGAACAACTGGTTCTCATATTTGATGCAGGCCTGGGCCTCCGATGCCTAGAATAGATTTCTGGAAGTGGCATCCACACACTTCCGGTGGGCTGTTCTAGGCCTGGGAAGACTCCTCCAGACTTCCAATGCCTCTTCCAGGCCTCCGAGGCCTAGACTAGATGTCTGGAAGCCAGCTAGTTCTCCGAATTCAGGTAAATTTAGCTACCAGTTTTCCTGAACCGTTGCAAACCGGCTGAATCCCACCACTGGTTCAGAATCTTTCAGTGCAGAGCAGGGAAATCTGCTTGATGGTTACCTTAGCCAGTCAAAGCCCATAAAACAGGTCTGTTCACTAGTCCCTTTTATATGACCACAGCCCTGCTTTGGCAGAGAAAGTATTTTGCGTATGTTGTGTTGGATCTTTTGTGCTCAATGGGGCCCTTGGTGTTTTCAGAGCTTGATTGTTTTCTTCCAGACGTTTCATTACCCAAAATACATAACCTCATCAGTGCTAGATGATGCAGTGCTGTTCATATACAAGTGGTTTATCCTGTCACTGTTGGTGAAGTGTTCTTGGTAGTTCCTTGATTAGGCTGCAGTTTAGTTTCATTGGTTGTCTTGAGTAGTTCCTTGATTTGGGGTACTGTTTACTGTTATGGGGTAACGAAATGTCTGCAAGAAAACGTTTTGAGAGCCCCAAGGATGCCACAGTTCAACTCTGAGCTGCAAGTATTCTCTCTTTATATATATGACGAATGAGACTTCATCGAAACGTCGCCAAGACACTTCCAATTTGACACGGGAGAAAACCCGAATAACCAAAGACCTACATACAAATACCCGCGAAAACTTCAGAAAACGTGTGTGTGTGTGTGTGTGTGTATGTCTGCTCCAATGAGCAGTTAGAGTTGATTTCCTGTATACATATATCTTTTAATGCAACCGAGATTGCAACTTTGAGATGTAAATTAGGATGTAAATGCAGAGAAGTGGAAAGAATAAAATCATTCCCATTTTAGGGAAGAAGTTCAAAAGACATTTGAATGGTTGCTTGAAAGTAACAACCTTTTAACAAGATGAATAATTCTAATGCATGATGAAGGAATCAAATTGATTGTCGTCTTGCCGAAGAGCGGCACCCTCTGCTAGCATGAGTATATCAGTTCCTAATGCTTATATTTTGTAAGATTCAGTATTCTCGTTGCTCTGAATGTGTGGTAAGTTTGGAGATCTTCCTTGGAACCCAGGGGCCATTTGTAATTGCTTATGCCCCCACGCCAGTTCAGACACAAAGGCTTTATATAATTGGGCTCTGAAGGCATCTAGTTCATGCCACATAATTACCCTGTGGCACTCTGATGCAGCATTTAAAAACTTCAAACCACTGACACAATGGTATTTGGATCTAATTAGACTTTAATTTGATGTCAATTTAAATTAAGAGGCCTTGCACATACTAGCCCATTGTGACTCGGGTAATACTAATTTCAGTCAGTAAGCTGAATACAACATGAAGTCAGATTCTCACAGTACAATAGAAGTGACAGGAGCAACTTGACACTTTAAATTAAAATTACTAAATTCCAAGCAATTGATGTGTGTGACCCCAAGCTATAACAGGATAGGTCATTAAATGCGATCCATAGAAATTGAGCTGAGAAGCAGACTCTAATCAACCAGGGAAGGAAACTAAAGTGCTTTGTTAGCAGGCTGTGTAGGTGAGAGCAAGCAAGGAGCTTTGCAGTAAAAGAAATAACTTGATGAATGGATGTTTCTCTTGTTTCTTCAAAACAGCCTTAAAAATCATGGCAACCGAGCTTTGCCCATTAGGGCAAAAGGATGAAAGAAATAACTCAAAACCCCAGTTAATACAATGGTTAATACATGTCTAGTTATTGAAATTAAATATTTTTTTTCTTCACTGTAATTCAAATGTGGCAGATATTTTCTTTAATATTTTAATTTTAAATAGATTAGTATTATAACAAAAATTGGGTGTCCTATAGCCTTTTTGTATAGGAAAGACTATACATAATACGTGTATGTGATTTAGCATATAGTTACAAAATTATATCCCTTTTTTGTGTAGGAAAGAAGCTATTACTTTGACATATCTTATTATGTTAAAAGTATTAAACTACATGCCAGGGTTCATAATTGAACCCAGAGTCCAGCAGCTAGCTATTGTGCTTTCATGTCGATAATATTTCTTGCTGTTTCTCAAAATAGTGAGGATGGTACTGTAGATTTAAAATTTGCTATTGAATTCTCAGTAACATTGTTAACTGTGGCTCTAACTTCTTTCTTTCAAGCACCGTGACTTCAGCTGTTTTCACTGTGGGAGACAATGTGGTTTCAGGTAGTGATGATCGTACTGTGAAAGTTTGGGACTTAAAAAATATGAGATCACCCATTGCCACTATTCGCACAGACTCTGCAGTAAACAGGTAAGCCATAGTCCATTTAATCTGATAGACATTTGTTTAACAAAAAGTGGTGCTCAGATCACAACATATTTTAAGATTTAGTAGAAAATAATAGAAAATAGCTACTTTGAAATACCCATTTTTCTTAATTTCTTCCTGAAATGCATTGTTGAGGTACTATGTCTTTGGCATCATTGTTTGGAAAATAGCGTTCTAGTGTGGCAGCTAAAGACTGATTTTTGTCTAATCAGTTGTGCTATTTTGAAACAATGGCAACTAACCTTTGCCCATTAGGTCTTTGGTGCCATGTGCTTTTGGGCCATTTTTGCATAAAGACTAGGCTTTTAAATTAATCCAAATTGATCACTTTTTTTTAGTATTTGGGAGTAGGATATTTGTGATCTGCGTGTTCATCACCTTAGGATCCCTCACATTTTGTTGATTTGAATAATTTACATGCAAAGGATCCATTTATACTGGTGTTTTCTCAATCTTGGCAACTTTAAGATGGATGGATTTTGGAAGTTGAAATTCACTCATTTTAAAAGTTGCCAAGGTTGAGAAACACTGGGTCTACATAGCTAAAGTACTTCAGATGAATTGGGTGCAACTTTTCTTTTCATGATTTTAGTAGAGACCCTTAGTGCTCATTCCATTAAGTACTAACTGCAGAGGGGTTTTTCTTTCCTAAGGGAATCAGGATGGACCTTGTCTGTATAAGTGTGGGCTTCAGAGCGTTTTTTTTTTTTGTCTTTAGCAAAAGACTATGGGGTATATCTGGTGATGTCTTTGTGAATGTCTATGATACCATCAGCACCAGAAACAAACCATTTTTTTGTAAAAAAATAAAATTATATTTGTGGGAACTGTGTGTAGCATGAAATTCCAATTAAATCACTTTCAGTGCCCTTGAACTACTGTCAATTCCTGGCAAGCTTTCTAATTTTTTTTTTATCTCCTCTGCACAGGATTAATGTTTGTGTCGGTCAAAAAATCATTGCCCTTCCACATGACAACCGACAGGTTAGATTATTTGACATGTCTGGAGTGCGATTAGCACGTCTTCCTCGTAGCAACAGACAGGTAGCAGAACTTTAGTTATTTCTTTAACATCTCTCTCATTCTTCCCTTAAGTTATTTTTCTGCATGTTACAAAATATTTATTATTTAGTTAAAACCTAGCATGTTGTTGCAGAAAATCACGCAATTGCCATTAACTTAAAAACAGTTGTACTTTTTTCCTCTACGGATAGACCTTGATTTACAACCCTAATTGAACCCAGAATTATTGTTGAAGTTATTGCAGTCATACGTTGAGGCATCAGTTACAGCCATTTTGTACAATAGTCATTAAGTGAACGCTACGGTCATTAAGCAAACGCTGCAGTTAAGTGTATCCATTTTCCCCAATGGGCGATTTTGCCAGAAGCTGAAAGTAAATATTGGGAACAGGCAAAATATAAATAAATGGCAAATTGTGTGATCACGTAATTGCAGAACACACACTGCAAGTGGTCGTAAAGATGAGCCCAAGTGTATATGTGGCTGTTGTAACTTCGAAAATAGGTCATAAGTAGTTCTCAGGGAGGCCATCAAAAGGGTTTTAGGCAACTGGTTTTAAAGGCTACCTATAGCATATAATAATTGGTATCTTGCAAACTAAAAATCACTGGGTTGAGACCCTGTTTGGATTTAATTCTAAATGGCCTCACCTTTTAAAGCAGTAGTGGAGAGCCTCTTGGTGGTCAGTTAATACTTTTAGGACCCTAAAGGTTACAGTGAACAATGATGCAAAATGGGCAACACTGTGTCACATATGTCGACAAGGTCAAGATTTTTGGTTTTCTCCTTGAAATATTTTCTTTGATTGGCATGGTAAAGTATGGATACTATGGATTTAAACTTCAGCCGTTGGCTATTCCTTGTCTCAAAAGGGATGAAATTATGCTGCAGTTAAGCAGTAGTATTGGTCAGTGAGAGATCTTAGGTTAAGGAAACAGGATCCAGAGATTTTTCATTCATATTTTAAGCTCTAAAATTTAGCAAATGTAAGAGATGTGGACTTAATCTCCCAGAATTCCTCAGCCAGCCATACCATAAGGATCACTATATGACAAATCCCTTGTCCCAAATGACAAGTAGTAGACCAACTATCCGAGTCCTCTTTAATAAAACTTTTTGATATGTTTCCTCTGTAGTCGTCATAATCATCATCATCATCATCATCATGATGTGCTTGGTGATAGAACAGGTTGGAACTATCTCATTACATAAATTCAATTAAAAGTAAATTTGATTTCTTCTGGAGTCAGGTGAAACTGTTTTATTTAATAAGTTTCTTTTCCTCACCAGTTCCTATTTTTAATGTACTGAGATCTTAAATAATCCAGTAACAACTTAAAATGCTTTGTGAATTGTGAAAAACCCTACTTTATGCCCTTTAAAAATAAAATAAAAATGAACTTTGTTTCTGTATTTGTTTCTGTATCTAGGCTTGCAAGTGTATGAAGTCATTTATATATAATTTTTTTCAAGGCTGTTTGTACAAGCTTGTGGTTTGTACAAAAAAGTCTGCTAATTCCAATAACAGGTTTTTGAATGTATCACCGCTTTGTGTGATTTTACATCTAAAAAGCAAAGTGTATTAAATCTGACATAGAGTGTTTATTTTGAGAAGTGTGGTCACAATATACTAGGTTGAGAAAGGATGCTGTCCATTTTTAGTTAGGCTGTGGACATTCCGTACCCATAGAGTTCAGCCCAAACCAGTGTTTAAACAAGAGGTTTAAAGTTTATTTTATCATACAGATAGACTTACAACCACAATTGAACCCAAATTTCTGTTGCTAACTGAGACAATTATTAAATGAATTTTGCCCCATTTGGTGACCTTTCTTGCCATGGTTGTTAAGCAAATCACTGCAGTTGTTAAATTGTTAAATTGATTGTTAAATGTTAAATGGTTAAATTGATTGATTGTTAAGTGAATCTGGCTTCCCCATTGATTTTGCAACCATCATAAATATGAGCCTGTTGCCAAGTTTCTGAATGTTGATCACATGACCATGGGAATGCTGCAATGACCATAAGGGTGGTCATTTTAATCCCCTATATTTTAAAAAGCCTGAACAACTTCTATGTTTTCAAATTTCTGAAGGATTATTTCTGTTCCTCAGATTCCCGAACATCTGTGTATCTGATTCATTTCAGCCATAGTTTTGGCAATAGTTACCTACAAATAAAATATAATTTGGCTTGCTTACTGATTCCTTAATTATTTTTATATGGTCAAATAATCTGTCTTGGGGTATATGTTTGGAAAGTAGATTTTGGTAGTGTGTACAAACTATCCTCAATTTACAATCACAATTTGGACCAGAACTTTCATTCCTAAGCAAGGCGGTTGTTGAGTTGTGCCCAATATTACGACTTTATTTGTCAGAGTTGTTAAGTGAATCATTGGAGTTGTTAAGTGAATCATGTGGCTGTTAACCAAATCCAACTGCTCCTATTAACTGTCTTTTTGGGATCCAGAAGCCCAAAATTTGAGACCCCATGATCCTGGGATACTGCAGCTGTTGTAAATACATGTCAATTGCCAAATGCTCAAATTTTGTTATTATGTGACTGTGGAATATTGTGAAATTGTAAGAGGGGGCACCAGTTGCATGTCACCTTTTTCAGTGTTCTTGTAATTTCAAATGGTTGCTGAAGGACTGTCTGTACGGCCTAACAAAAGAGGCAGGAAAAAGAACCAAGCACAGTCTAATGCTGCTCTCTTTGTTCTTCCAGGGTCACAGAAGGATGGTTTGCTGCTCAGCATGGAGCGAAGATCATCCAATATGCAACCTCTTCACTTGTGGATTTGATCGCCAGGCTATTGGATGGAACATCAACATCCCTGCTTTGCTTCAGGAAAAATGAGAAGCTCTCCTCATGTTTTCCCGGTTTTATTGCCACAAACTTTGTGCAGACTTTCCTGTAAGCTGCAGTCAGTATAAAAGGCACACTTTGCAAAGGGCGGTGGGTGGAATTGCAAATATTGTTACTGCATTGTGCACAGTTGCATGAAATGTACAGAAAAAAATGTGACCTTTTCAAAGAAGTTAGGCCAATGTTTCTAAATCGTATCAACATTAAGATGTGTGAATTTCAACTCTCAAAATTCCCCAGCCAGCATAGCTAGCTGGGAAATTCTGGGAATTGAAGTCCACACATCTTAAAGTAGCTAAGATTAAGAAATAATGAGTTAAGTTCTTGTGTATGAACTTTTTTATCTTGATATCCACTGGTGTCTAGAAGGACACTTAACTTTCCCATGGAGCTTATATGTTTGCAGATTACTCAGTCTAGTTGAACGTTAGGGCATTAAGTTCGGCTTAAATATGAATTTCATGAAAAATATATAGTTCACCTTTCCCCCATCACATTACACATTTACCCTGTGATTAAAAGAGAATATAAAGTTTCTCTTTAAGATGAAGAGGAAGAAGTTTACTACAATGTGTAGCTGAGCTTTTCTTTCATCTATATCAGTGTTTCTCAACCTTGACAATTTTAAGGCATGTGGACTTCAACTCCCAGAATTCCACAGCCAGCATTGCTGGCTGTGGAATTCTGGGAGTTGAAGTCCACATGCCTTAAAATTGTCAAGGTGAGAAACACTGATCTATATGTAGTGTGATCTGAAGACTCGAATATAGTATTAATTTCAACTCCCAGTATAGCTTAGTTACTGAATTAAAAATAAGGGTCAGGGAAGAAAACGATAAATATCTTTATGTATCAGATATAAAATGTTGGATTGCCATATTGGGAATACTCCAGAACCTTTCAAGACCTATTTAAATTATTACACTCCTGGTCTGAGGAACCACTCTCTGTCAGATTCTCACATAAGGCAAATGACAATATTTTACAATCATGCAAATTTCAATAAGTTCTTATAGCACTTTAGTTTATGGCAGCAGTTATAAACCACAAATGTCCAGTGACATTTCCTGGAGAATGTGAGACTTGTATCTAAGAAGGATTTTCCTTACTAGGCTTTTGTGAATATTTTAAAGCTGGTGAGTAAATCTTGTTATTTTACTTGTTTTTATTTTTTTAAAAAATACACCGGTGTTTTAATGTAAATTGACATAATTCTGTTTGAGCCAAGGATAGCACCAAGACCTTGTCCAAACATTTCACTGTAGAAGGGAATTGCTTCTCTCCCTTCCCTCTCCTTAATGATCATTCTTGAAAAGAAGAGATTTTTCAAAATATTTTAATGGGATGGTTGCTTGCATTGTGGAAACCAGATTACCAAATTTTAAGCTAAAATTGGAACAAGTTTAATAAAACTTTATCATGCTGAAAAAAATCAGCTTAAGAAAAATATAGTCCCTGTTCAACATAATTCTCTAGGCCTTCCTTAAATTGCACACCAGAACATACTATGTGAACTTTATCCTACTTACATTGTGCTGCCAGATTTGCATATTTAATTCATATTTGCAAAAGCACTTGGTAGTCACCATTTGGAAGAAAAGTCTGAAAGTTGTTTTTGAAGTTCCTTCACAGATGAATGCAGAAAGCAGTTTTCTTTACTATCCATTATTGTCTCCAGAGTGGCACGCAAATCACTTAACAAAGAGTTTAAAATTAATTTCCATAAATCAGAGGTGTAGAAACTATGGCTTAAGGGACTTCATAGAGCTTGCCAATTTCTGCTTTTACTTTTTGAGTAAATGGTAAAAAAAAATTGTGCCCATTTGATGGTGTTTGAAGCATAAAATGGTATCTTAATCCTTGCAGATGTTGAAAACATTATTCCATCTCTTTAAACTTTGTGACTACCTCCCATACAAGCTACAGGCCCCATCCATTTTTAAAAAGTTGGCTTTGATATGCTATATTAATCTAGTTGTGGCTCTCAATTTCAAGCCCTGCAACAGGGCATCGTGAGTTGTTATTACTTTAATTACTCCATTTTTCTTTGGCCAACGTTCTCTTCCAAGAGTTCTGAAAAGTATGGATTTCAAAGACAGACCTACCTAGAGAACAGAATAAATAGGATGAGAGTCAAGGACACCATTTATTGAAATCCTAGAAACAAGCAGAGATATAAAATGATAGGATATCTGTGTGGTTGTGACTATCTCAAAAGAGGGTTTAGTTATGAAGTGTATACAACTTTATGTGGCAGGTAAGAGGCTAATAATTGAGGTTTATGATGATTATTAATGTTAAGCAAATAATGATCTACAAGAGCGACTTGTATGAGCTATGAATAATTTGTTGCGCATTTTGTTAGTAGTAATAATAGTACTATTTTACAGTGTTTGCAATGCAATCTCAGCCTTGCTAGATAGAGTGTGTTGCCAGATGGCCTGGAATCCTGCAATGAGAGAAACAATCCTATCATTTCACCCTCTTGACTGTTTTTGGTTTTTGCAGTTACGTTAGGACAAACCACAACAACAAAACATACATATGGGTATATGTTGACAATGGCTTCTTGAACTCATACCGTATATGCCGGCGTATTAGACGACCCGGCATATAAGACGACCCCCGTCTTTATCGCCGAGCTGCACTCCTAGAACGTCGTCTTATACGCCGGAAACTACCAGTATTTCCGGCGTATAAGACGACTCGGCGTATAAGACGACCCCTGTCTTTGGCGCCGACTTTAGCATTTCTGGAAGTCATCTTACACGCTGGCATATACGGTATATACTTTGAGAACAAGTTCCCTTAGTTACATGGCCTTGTGAAATCCCATTAGGGAAATCTGGTTTCATTGTATTTATATCTTACTGTACATTACTGAGGATTTTATTCTGCTAGCCCTTGCAGGGGGCGTTGCTCTTCTCTGTTTCAAGCCATTGAGCCAGCGCTGTCCGAAGACATTTCCATGGTTATGCAGCCAGCATGACAGCACAGAGCGCTGTAGTATGAGTACATATTATTTTTAATGGAGTTATAACCCTGCCCACTCAGTGATGTCACATCTGCATTCCCCTCAGAAATGCTGTAACATCTTATTGCCTGTCCCAGAAATATTTCTGATTGGTCTATATCCATAAGGAGGTGTTGATTGATAGCTGTTGACTATTACACTGTTGTCCCATCCCTGGAAGTGCTTTTGATTGGTGCAAAAAATCTTGATTGACTGATTGAGCACATGGTATCCTAGTCCCATCATCATCACTATCATCACCTAATTGGTAGATAAAATTGAAATAAACTCCTTCCTGCCACATGTGCATCCTCTAATACAGTGTTTCCCAAACTTGACAATTTTAAGGCATGTGGACTTCAACTCCCAGAATTCCACAGCAATGCTGGCTGTGGAATTCTGGGAGTTGAAGTCCACATGCCTTAAAATTGTCAAGTTTGGGAAACACTGCTCTAATAAGATTATATTCACTTGCAATGTATCTAATTCACTGTGCAGACATTGTGTCCTCTTTAATAATGCATCGTTATTAAATGATCATCATCATTGGTAAATTGGTTTACCAATACTGTAGACCCCAGATCACCCCCATAAGCATTGGTAGACTCTTCATCACTTGAGAAGTATGTTCTGTCCCAGTCCCTCCCCTCCCAGGAAATTTAAGGACTTTATTTAAATACCATGAGCCCCTAATGTCATTCCCCAAATCCTCTTTGCAATAAGCTTGCCTGCAAGTGGTTCCCCAGTAAAGCAGAGTCCACAAATTCGGTATAAGGTCAAAAAACCAAATACAAAATCCACAATCAAGGCACAAAGTTCCAAATCCAGGTGTAAGTCCAAAGATACGATATCCAAATCCAAGGTCCGAGTCCAGAATCAATTCACAAAATCCAAAGTCCAAGCACAGATCATGAATTCACAAAGTGAGAAACAAAGGCACAGATCATGAATTCACAAAGTGAGAGAATATACATGGCAGGGAATCAAATGGAAGTTTGTCTCCAATATTGCTTTGCTCCATGTGCTAGGCTAAGTAGCTGCCAGATGATGCAATTCATTAGGAGAGTAAGTCACGAGTAGACTTACCAACCTCCGTGTGCACTCTGAGATTTGTTGGATGACGCAGTTCCTCCTCATCCTTGCTAACTGGCTGTAGCTGCACCCCTTCTCTGTTCCCTGCTTCTGGCTGATTATCTGAGCCTCCTAGTTGTACTGCATCTCTTCTGTCTCCTCTTCAGCCAAGCTCTTATCCGGTTGTTCCATGGGCAGCCCTTCTGAGGTTCCTGGCCTTTTTGTGTTCTTGCAAATTCTGTCCTGATTAGGAGTTTCCTCTGTCTTCCTGACGTTCCTCTGCCTCACACTCTGATATTCCCAAAGCCAGCTCTTCCTTGTCATCTGAGCCAGCATATAGAGAAGCCATTACAATATATCTTGTTAATGATAGATGGCTATCATGTTTATATCCCAAATCAGAGATTGTAAATTATAAAATATAACCCATTGCGCTGCTATCACTACCACCCTCTTTTGCCACTTACTCTATAAAAATCATTTACTTATGTGGACTAGTTCCTTGGATAGTTGATAAAGAACAACTATTTACCATTTCACACGCTGTCTGGTAAATATTATTGAGCATTCCTTTGCTTTTTTGGACCCTCTGGTGTCTTCCAAATGGCTAAAAGCTGTAGTAAGGACTCTGCCCTGTAGCTGTTCCAACTGATGATATGAAGTCAAATACATCTTGGCATGTTCTCTATTTATCTAAAAAAGGGTTAGTCAGCAGTGGTACAGCAGTCCTTGGTCATCTTCTTCTTAGCGTTATTCCTGCGCTATGGCGGGGTCCACTTGTCAGTTATTGGTCTCCATTTGGCCTGATCTAGGGCATCTTCAGGAATGACACCCATGCATTTCATGTCCTCCTTAATGCTATCCATCCAAAGTTTCTTCGGTCTGCCACAGGGTCGCTGGCTACCAGGGACCAGATGCATAGCTGTCTTCACTACCAAGTCTTCTTTACCACAGCTGAAGTGTCCGTACCATTTAGGTTTTCCTTCCCACAGTTTTGCTACAATTGGCACAACTCTCAGTCAGTGTCAGACTTTGTTGTCCATGGTGTAGTCGAATCATGTTAGTCCAAAACACCATCGGAACATTAATATTTTTATCACATGTAGGGCCTGCTCATGATTTGCTATGTCTGGCCAGCACCCTGATCCATAGAGGGCAACTGGATGCAGTACCATTCTATAAAGAGCCGAGGTGGCGCAGCAGTTAGAGTGCAGTACTGCAGGCCACTTTAGCTGACTGTGTTCAACAGGTCAGCGGTTCAAATCTCACCGGCTCAAGGTTGACTCAGCCTTCCATCCTTCCGGGGTAGGTAAAATGAGGACCCAGATTGTTGGGGGCAATGTAAAATATATATGCATTGCTTACTGGTGTACACCGCTTAGAGAGTGCTTGCACTTAAAGCGGTATATAAGTCCCATAAATAAATAAATAAATAAATAAATAAATCTTTGACTTGAGGCAAAGGGGCATCCGATGATTACACAGGGTTCCAATCATTTGGCATCACTTCCTCCAGCCGATGTTGACATGGGCACAGGTATGCAGAAAGTTATTGCCATCACTGCATATGAGGAAGCCAAGATACTTGAATTGCTCTACTTTTTTCAGATCTTCACCTCTAGTGCTGATGGTTTCATCAGTTTGGGGGACACATTCCATATATTCCATTTTCTTGATGTTCAGTTGAAGTCTTCATTCGCTGAGGTGTTCATTCCATTGCTGCATTTGCTTTTAGAAGTCTTCACTTTCATTTGCCAAGAAGACATAGTGACCATGGATGGGATGATTGGAGGTCAATCATCACAGTGTCCATGCAAATGACGAATGCTAGAGGTAAAGCACCAATCCTTGATAATGGAGACAATCTTGCAGAGCCTGGCATCAATAACCAGTTTGATTCAAATATTTTCATGGTGTGACACAGGAGCCGGATCGGCTGATAATTTGAGTATTTGTCCATGTCATCCTTATCCTTTCAAATTGGCATCATAGTATTGGTTGCCCAAGCTGCCAGGGCTACTCCTTCATCAATGACTTGGCTAAAGAAGGCAGCAAGATTCATGGCACCTTGGCAGCTGAGGATCTTCCATAATGTTGCCCTCCCAATCTTCATCTTTGTTGCTTCTTTGACTTCCCTGATGGTAATTAGTGGCACAGGTCCAGAGACCGGATTGGCACTTTGGATTGAAGGATGCTAATTGCTAATTTTGGAGAAGTAATCACTCCACCAGTGGAGGATGGCGAGTGGGTCTCGAAGGTGTTGATGGTTCTCATCCTTTATGTACTTGACTTGACCAATGTGGCGAGTAAGGTTCAGAGTCTTCAAGACCCAATTCCAAACACAAAGTCAATCCAAAGTGAAATACGAATTACGATGATCAAACAACCAACCAGAAAACCAAACATGTCGTTCCCAACAAACTTCCTTCTGTCTGCTGTGATAAATAGCCAGCTTTCTGGTGCAGCCCATCAAGGTGGTGGGGTCTTCTCTTGACTAGTCTGGATGACCTCTGCTGCTCCTGCTTTTTTCTGCCCTGGGTCTTCTCGGATCAGATGCACAAGTCAGTTCCTTCTCTTCTTCATTGGCTGTATGCCGCTGCAAACTTTCCCCAGCTGAAGCCTCCTCCAAATCTCTTTCTGATGGCTGTTCAGAGCTATCAATCAACTCAGTTCCTGATGTGCCAGGAATGGTTCAACCTCCCCTGAGCTGACCTGAGAAGGAATCTGGGGAGTTGCCCAAGGAAGACATCACCAATTCAGCTTCTTCCTTTGTCTTTTAAGTCTTCCATGAACATTCTTCATCATGTATTTTGAGGGCATCCTCTTGGGAGGTCCATCTCATTGTTATCTTGGAGATTCAATTGTTCTCCCTGCGGAGAATTTGACCTGCAAGTTGGAGTTTTCTGCATGTGCTAATGTTTACAATTTATAATCACTACAGAAACATGGAATATCTCAAGACGTATAAACAGAAGCAACAGTGGCCTTCATTTTTATGAATACCTATATCCAAATTTATGATCACTATATGCAGTGTTTCTTTTGTAAAAAAAAAAAAAAAAGATGCCGGAACTCACATATGTCATACAACCCACCTTGCCTACCCTACAAGGTTTCATCCAAAAAAGGTGCCAGAATTCCATTCTGGGTGTTCTATGTCAAAAAAAGCCCTGACTATATGTTTTAATTTACCTTGTACTTCAAGTGAGTAGAGGGTTTGGCTCCATAATCTGCTCATAATGTATTTCACATGAAGTCTCTAAGCTCTATATTTGGAAACTCAGCAATGGAAATTCAGGAAACAACCGATCACCAATTTGGAGAATCGCAAACAAATAATAATCCGGTCTCAACATCGTTACAGTACATAGAACTTATTGACAGTTGGGTGAATAAGGAAATCTTTACATTTTTATTATGTGGATGTTAGTTCACATCAATATTCTCAATAGCTTAGTTTTCTAAAAACCTACATATATGTGAATTACACAATCTACTTTCTAATTTCCCCAAACCCTGGGCTGCGGCCCACTACTCAGGCATGGCCCATTTGGAACTGGACTACACAAGTGCGGGTGAATGTATGCATGCAGCTCCATTTGCGTGAGCCGTGGGCACTACTGTTGGGTTAAGAAGGTCCATTTGTGTGAGTGATAAGTGCTAGTGCGCGAAGCTCCATTTGTGTGAGTAGTGGATGCTAGTGCTGGTGTGCAAAGGTCCATTTTTGCAAGCGGTGGATGCTGGCACTAGCGCGTAAAGGTCCATTTGCATGGAACCATCCCCTCGCCTCTTCTACTGGTCCGCCAAGCCAGAAAGATTGGGGGCCTTGATAACTCCATTTAAAAATTATATGTACTCATACTCCTTACAGCCCTTAGCTAAGGAATGATTTTATCTAATTTGGGGGTTGGTTGATTGGTTAGTTGGTTGGTTGGTGGGTGGGTGGGTGAGTGGGCTGTCTGGTTGGTTGGTTGGTTGGTTGGTTTGGGAAGGTAAGAGTGGGTTTTCATTGGCATGGACTGGGCACATGATTTGTAAGATTT